GACAATATGACAGTCTTTTCTCCCTTAATAGGCCCCGGCGTCTCCTTTTCTTTCTGTATTTCTCTGTTCTGGCCCACCCGGGGGGGGGGGGGGGGGGGCAGGCTCCACCCTTCAGCTTTTATCTTTTTACGGCCGCGTCCGAGAGAGAGAAACAGAAAAAGGGAGCGGAGAGACAGATGCAAAGGGACAGATGGAGGGCGAGTGAGACGGCGACAGACGAGAGTCGAGCATAATGCTGTAAAATGGAGTTGCTCTAAATTCTTCATTTTGATTTGTTAGCTTCAGAAAAATCTGGAGCTGTTCCCTTCGTGGATTTGGCGAAACCTGAACCTAATAAATGTGCGGTGGACAAATGCGTTCATACGGCATGTTGGCAGCGTGGACAGGCCGAGTCAAAGAGAGGATTTAAATGAATGTTGGGAGTTCAGGGTCATGTTCTCACACATTCTGTCCTGAATCAATACTGACATTTACAATCAATTAAGGAAAAGCCAAGCTCGCCACGAATGACAATCCCATTTATTGACACCCGGCCAATCAGAGGTTGGTTGATGCAGTAGAGGAGGGAGACAGTGTCAATGGTCATTATTCAAGCTGGACACTAGAAGTAAATCATTGAACCTTTAAGCATCCATATAAAAACAGTGAGGCTATTTCAAGGTTGTATCGGCGATCAGAGTAATTCTTTATTTTTCACTAAATCTAACCTCCAAAACATTTTTTTTTTTTTAAACATCCATGCTCCACATGAAGTGAATTAGCGCTGGCATCGTTTCTACAACAACACGTGGAAGGTAAACACTTACAGGCCAAACTCTTTTTTTTTTCTCTCCCTCTTTTAGCCCCTTTACTGCACGTATGTGATGGAGAACCACTTATATAATGTAAGCGTCACGTATGGAGCCGGGGTCTCATGGAAAGTGGGAGAAGAAAATACAAGGGAGGGCCGATGGAAAAAAAGAGGGAGGAGGAGCGGAGTGAAAAGTAAAGTGGAGATGGAGTCGCAGGGAGTCGGCGATGGAGGAGAAGGAGGGAGGGGGGGTAGAAGGGGGCAAAGTCTGGAAGCTAACTGACAGGACTGGATATGCCCAGACAGGGAGCCGGGCCCAGGCCCAGACTTGAGTCTTATTTGAGTCTTGAGAAATGCCTCACCCGTCTCTCCCTCACCCCCTTCTTTAAAAAACACCATCAACCCCCCCCCTCCACGCCACCCCCCTGCCTGTCTCTCCCTTCCTCACCCGTTCTTACAGGCTCAGGCCCTCTCGTCCGACTCCTCCCCTTTTTTTGCTCTTCAAACAAGCACACACACACACACACACACACACACACACATACTTCTGAACTGCTCTGGTGCTATTGAGGGTAAACTGGAGAATCCAGGGTGTTGGTCAAGCAAGTAAATAATAATACGTTAAACTGGACGGCTGTTGGCATATTTCTGCACAACTCATCTCTCTGAGATCTACGTTTACTATCTTCTAAAAGTAAAAATGGACTTTCCTCTAATCCCACCAGTCTTTTTTTTCCCTGACAGCTCCTTTACATTGCTGCTATTCTTTTATATTCTGGCATTTGTCCTGTATTCTCTCTTTAACTTTTCCTCACCAAGGGAGCCCCGGCCCAGACATGGTCTGCGTATTGTCTGAAGGGCTCTCCAAGCAGAAATTCTCTCACGATAGAAACACTGAGCAGGGAGCGCAGAAGGAGCATTAAAAAGAATGAAAAGAGGTAGGGTGGGGTAGCTGGAGCGAGGCACTGAGTTGTCTGTGTTTATTTTGGAAATGCAGGCCTGCAGACTTGCAACAGAGGAACTGACCCTTAAACTTCCCCCGTGGCAGATCGTCACAGGGAGAGAAAGAGTCCTGTGCTCGTTCGGGATGTCCCACAGAGGTGATTTTTTTTTTTAAAAAGGGGGGGCAGACCGTATATATTCCCACAGGGCGCGTTTTAACCCACCCTGGGGACCCAGGAATGGGCTGCTCCGGGAGGAAACAGTGAGGCCGTGAGCGATTAGTGGTTACAGTTTAACTGGAGAAAAATGCACGCTTGGTGAGCCCGGGCCAGCGAGGGAGCAAGGCGGAATGCACTGGCCTCCTTCAGTTTGCTAGTTAGTGAGTCAGGCTCTGTGTCGGCGCTCTCTTTTTCTCATTGTATGAAGGAGACACATCACACTGCAGCTCTCCAAGGCATGCGTGTGTCACCTCCACCGTTGCACACATGGCAATGATTAGTGACAAGAGATTTTGTGGGAAATAATGCACAGGGCTGAACTGTAGAAGAAGATGACAGCTGAAAGAGTCATTCTTTCAGTCATTTTCAAGTTTAACTCTATTTCAGCCGATGAATGAGTTCTGTTTTCTACTTGGATTTCCATTAAATTATATTGATGACTTCAGTCTTGTGGCTCGTATGACTTTTCGCTGGTTCCTGCGGTCTTTACCAGCTACAAAATAACCAAGGATTCGCCAATAAACTTCCCGTCAAGGGGCCGATATCCAAACCTGACCATGGATATACGCTGTCCTCTCCCCAGCTCATTTCACTGAAGGGACGTCTCATCATCAGGCAACATTTTTCGCTCAATCAAAAAGGTCAAGAGCTGCAGTGCAAATCCATTCAACACGACATAACCTCGCGTTCGTGATATTCCACCCGCTAAGCACTCTAGCGGAGGAATCACGAATTGTCTGATTGGGAAATCCGAGTGCTATAGCGACACAAGCGTAAAAGGACATCTCTGTCATCGGGGGGTCGCTGTGAAGATAAATACAAGTGTGTATTATTCACTCCATGCTGCCTCTTTCACTGACCACTATAATCCTCTCTCCCCTGCTGCTGAGTTGCCTTTCAGCTTGACCGTAATCCCCATGCAGCTATGAAACCCCACTGCGATATCAATTCAAACGCTCTCACTGACGGCAGCTTTTACCAGTTACGCTCCACGCAATTACGGGTAGCGGTCAGTTTTTGCCGCCAACCGTTGTGGATGCAAGACGAGAGTTTCTGCGTTAGCGTACTCGCAATGTGAGAATTAACTGGATGTGTTTCTCTTCGCATCCGACGCGGTGCGCTTTTAATAGCCTTTAAGTGCAAACGCACTGTGGGCTCCCACCATTCCCCTACCGCAAGCCTCGTGGTCGTTCCCTGACGCGGGAATATTCCATTGGGGTCCACCTATTCCACCGCGAAGCAGTGGCCTTACCCTTACACAACTCGGGACCTCAGGGGTATGATGTCAGACACAAAAATCTGAAAGCACAGGAAAATTGGGGAGGTGACGACCACACCCATGATTTGATTTCAGACACCAGCATGATGGAAGGCCTCTATGGTATATCCCCTTGCATGCTTATAGCGCCAGATGAAGAAAGTCGCTCAGACCAAATGTCTGTGCAAGTGCAAGTTGCGGCCAGCAGCTGCACAAGTATCTACATCTGGCCGAGCACGCAGTCAGGATGAGAAAATGTACCGCTAAAAAAAGGGCTTCCTACACAAACACACACGTCTTGAGAATGTGGAATACCACCAGAGGGGTGCGCAGCTGGACCCCAGCAGACATCTGGCTATGTGAGGCCGCTGAGAGCTTTTCCTTTGCTGTGTCTCGAGGGGTCGCGATGCCTCTCTGTCCGTCAGATGGATTCTCAGTTTGATCGGAGGCTGATTGGATGAACAACGCGGTGAGCGGGCTGAGGATGTGTGGAGCACCTTAGCTCACAGTTTGGAAAGAAATTATGGATTAAATAGCAGGGGGCCTGGAAAGGGTGGGGGTGGTCAATGTCCTCCCTCAGCACAAAGCCAGTGTGGCCTCTTTTGCTGCTCCTCTTCTCCACATTCTTTGAGAGAAGTCCAGTGGGCCCCCAGCCGGGCCTCCTCCGGTCTCATGATATTTCTGTGATAGTTTCTCTCATGCACCGACACATGTCATTGTTCACGCAGCCCATCACAGTCACCTTGGAAATAAACAGCCATTCTGCTCTGATCCAAAATACAACCGAAGCCCCCCCGAGTGCGCCTCCATCGGCATTGTGGCCTAATGCTTTTTAATGATCAGGCCTTATTCCACTCCGGCACAGGGCTTGTTAGATCTGCCTTGGCAGAGCTTAACTCTTTCCCCTGGCATCTTCTGGAACAATGGTCCCATGGGAGGCAGCCAATGGGGAGAAGGTCCATCCCAAACCCAGTCCCAGAGTGCACACAATTAGGCTTAGGGACAGTGGAATTGCTTAATTGGAGGAAAATAGCTCTTTATCCAGACTAGTGTGCCAGTGCTCATCCACGCCCCCCCTGAGCTACATGCTTGGCCTCAACTAACTTGATTTCTCCAGCACCAGTCGCACTTTGCGAGGCAGAGGTCTTGAAGCATAAATAACTCACAGCAGATGCATGACATCTATTTGCTGCTCCGACCAGGAACAACTTAGTGGCACTAAAAAAAAAAAGAACATTTAGACATTCGTGTGGGAAATGTGAGAATCGCCATTACGGGTTTGATGGGCGGGTACCTCGTGCAGGTGGTCACGGTTGTATTTACCAACATCCCATCATGTTTTCAGCGAATGCCAGCAGTCCGTAGACATTGAACTCCTTTATCAGATGTTGTGACACAACGACACAGAGCTCAGTGCAAGCCCTCATCTTGCACAACAGCTGGCTGAGCTGTGATAAAACGGCCCTATATAGGGCGGCATTCGTGACACTGCTCTAAACACGTTGCAGGGTTGCAGAGGCGGGCTGCTGGTTTCATTTGTCATTTTTTGGGGGGGGGGGTTGTTGTTCTGGCCATGAGTATACGACAAGTGCCGGGAGTCCAGGCTGCAGTATGTGGGCGCACCGCTGGAGAGAGCCTCCTGGAAGAAAATAGGTCACTACCCTGTTTGAACTCGTGCAATATTTCATATCGTCTTGGCGGCGCAGCAGACGCGCAACCGACGCGGACACGCGTGACAACGGGCGCAAAGACGAGTGACACATTCCAAACACAAAGGCGCTCCTGTGCTTACCTTACAGGGGAGAAAATGCCGAGGGTATGGTCGAGATATCTCCGACTCGCGCCCCCCCCCAACAACACCACACACAACCTCCGTATCCCCCTTCTCCTCCTTCTCCTCCGGCTCTTGGCGGTGCAAAACTCGGACACAAAGTCCTGTGGCTCCAGCGGCGTCGGTGTCGAATGACTCCTCGTCAGTTTGTCGCGTTTTCTTCAATAGACGCGCGACGCGGGAGCCGATGCGTCTTGTGGAGAGATGTCTAGGTGTCTGAAGAGGCGGTCCGTTCCCAGACCATTGTCGGGATTCTTTCTAAGCATAGATGGGGGGGGGGGGGTTCTAACATAAGCTCAAACGCAGCGTATTTGACTGCTGCTCGTTTTGGATAAAGACGAATCTAGGGAATGACAGCCGGGTGGGAGGAGATATTCTGCATGTCACCACGCCGCTGGAAACCCGTCAAAAAGTGTAAACACCCAAATCCGTAATCTGAACTGATCCCGCTGAGCAAAAAAAAAAAATGGGAGCAAAAAGAAAGAAACGAAGAGCACTTCATGTGATGTGAATCAAAAACGCAGGTAATATCTCTCGCTAAATTCAAAGCGCATCGCTTAATGGCAACGCTGGTCAAGTGGGGGGTTTCCTATGGGTGGTCGCGGTTCTCCTGCCGGGGGTGGGAGGGCAGTTCGAATCAGAGGGATGGCATGAAGAGGTGGGCAGGGTGGATGGGGCGGGTTGGTCGGCGGGGTGTGGGGTGGAAGGGGGAGGATCGTCTCCTTCGTTCTCCGGGTGCCTTTTTTCCAGATGCCGAGGTGGGGCCGGTGGCTTTCCTCCCGCGCAGTTATCCTCGTGTCCCTTCTGCTGCTGCTATTTCGTTGTTGTTGTTGTTTTGTTTGTTCCTCACTCTTGTGGAGACGCTGTGTTGGTGGCAGTCTCTCTCTCTCTCTCTCTCTCCCCCCCCCCAAAGACCATCTGAAGCGCAAAGACAGCCGCCCGGAGCCCAGCCAGCCCGTCAGGACCAGCCCAAAGTCTGCCAGCTCAGCGCATGCTTACTGCTCCGCCCCCTCCTCCATGGGCAGTCCCCGGCTCCTCTCCAAGCTCTCCCTCCCTCTCCCTCCCTCCATCAACAGGCCTTGATGACCGGTACCGCCCCTGTATTTCCACTGTGTTACCACTTAATTATTACTGCGTATTTTATCATAAGTAATTAACCCTGCAGGAGAGATGAATAAGACGCAAGACTATATGTCTGAATCGATTTAGATTCTAAATCACACCGGAATGTTGATTGGAAAGGCAATAATACGGAGAAGTTCAGATGAGCGCGGTTTTATTTGGGTCTTTGATTTTACAGTTGTTCAAAACAATGAGCAGCAGAAGCAACCATCAAATCCGCAACAGTATATTTATTTTTGTTCAAGGCAAAGGGGAAATACAGCCACCGTGCAAACTAAAGCGGTGTTGGTGTTTTGGTCCCCCCCCCATTCTATGGTATCCAGTCTTTCGATGAGGCTTGAGTGCAAATCTGTGCCACCACTAGAGGGCCTAAAGCGGCTTGTTTGGAGAATAATCCAGCCAGGAGTCCTCCGAGATATGTATTCAGTAGTATCATGATCAAGATATATATAGATATATTCTGTAAAGACGCAATATTTTGGACAGTCAAGTTGACCAACTTGCCAAGTTGACTAATCCAGTGCCCCCCCCCCCCCCCCCCAATAGGATCGTTCAAAATATTACGCCAATACGTTTCATGTTCATTGAGTTTCAAGTGCTTTAACTATTGCAGTTAATTTGTAATATGTTGCATGTATTTTTTATATTCACCTATAGAGCTGTGGATTTTACTTTAAGTAGTTTTTATAGGTGGCTGGTCGTCGCAATTTGTACCATATGTGACTACACCTCACTAAATATGTAAGTAAACGGTGAGCTAAACCAAAAATGTTCAGACTATTGACGTGTGATGCTTTGTTTGGGTTGGTTGAAACACATTCCATTGTATTATAAACTGAACAGCAGCCAATTCAATTGCCCCACAGCGACAAAAAGGCAAACTTGTATTACCCTATTATGCCTGTCTCAACGTGTTATTAGCATGGAATTAATATCCCACCAGTTTGCAAGATGAATAATACTGTTTATAGCCTGTTCATTTTAAATTGCTTGGAACCACATATAGAAGTCACTCGTTTCTTGCAAGAAACGAGTCTGATCCAGATGTACGCAAATCTGGCGCAGCTCCAAAGACGGACAATATCCGCCCCGGTAAGGTGGACTCATTGATAAAACGCCACCATGTGCCACCGCAAGGACGCCACATTCTCTCATTTCCGGGTGCGACAAAAACAAAAACAAAAATTCGCTTCCGCCACTTTTATTCTATCCATAAGCGAGTCGCGGCTTCTGTTCTACTGTATAATAACGCGGTTTACCCCGCCACGCACTGCCACTGTCACACACCCCAAAATGGTGCACAGCACGCACGACCGATCGTGCTGCGTGTCAGTCAGCATTCTGTCCCTAAAAGACCCCCCCCATCCCGGCCCTCCCCAGCCCCTCCGCCCCTCGTGGCTGTTGCTGTGCAGCTTTGCGCCGACGCGTCAGCTGATCCCGCTTGTTCTCTTATCGCAGCTGTTTGAGTTTCCGCCCCCGTTACGTTGTCTGTATTTACACTAGTACCGATGTCACATTTCATTAAGATTTTTTTTTGCCTTTTTGGGTTGTTTTTTTGTGTCCCAGTTATACCTGTCAACTTATTTATTTTAGGAATGCTCTAATGTGTGGAGGCCCTCGCGGTATTAATCTCACTTAAACTATATAAAAGGGGGACCGCGTTTTTATTATCAATCCCCGACTGCAGGACTCGTGGGTCGCTTAGATTTGATTTCACGCCGTGGTGCGCCTCTTATCCTACGTTTTCAATGTAATTCGTATTACAGGACATATATTCCCCCCATTCCTCCCCTTAACGCGTGCCCCTTTGTCGACGGTGTATTTATGCGCTAAATAGTCCTTTGTTTACATGCAGTCCCCAGTCTTTGCGGAAGGAGGCTCTTGGATGCGAGTGTGACTCTTACCAGCTGTTTCCCGCCTTGAAAGCCACCCGATCAGCTGCATACACGCGCACGCACACACACACACACACACACACACACACACACACACACACACACACACACACACGCACGCACGCACGCACACGCACACTTATGCAGAGGGGGAAGCAGAGGGAGGGAGAGAGACATAGAGAGAGAGAGAGAGCGCAACACACAACGAGGGAACCCCATCAGCTGGAAGTCAAGTAACATTACAACTCTCAGCAGCGTGGAACTACTGAGGTTACATTACGCACTGCCCGAGGATTTACCCCCCCGGTGGGATCGCGGGGGTTCTGCCTCTCTAACGTCGGATTTTGTTTTTTCTTTTATCCAACGGAGGAGACTGTTTGCTTTTTTTTCTTTTTTAATAAGGAGGTGGGGGGGCGGATGGCAGACTGGCGAGAGGAGAGCATGGAGTATTTCATGGTACCAGCTCAGAAGGTGCCCTCCTTGCAACATTTCAGGAAAACGGAGAAAGAAGTGATCGGAGGTCTTTGTAGGTGTGTATATATCGGCGCTTCGCTCCCGGCGCGCTGCTTGTATTCCGCGTCTGTTTTTGGAAGAAGACGCGCTGCGCGTTGAGGCAACATGCTCGATCCGATCTGTTATTGTGTACACGACCCACTCAACTGGGGGGTGGGGGGGGGGGGGGGAGAGCTGCGGGCATTCGTTATCCTCAAACCCCGAAATTGTATCGCGGGTGTGGGATCCGTCTCACACGCACACACACCCCCCTCACCACGCATCCACTCCGTGTTGTTGGTCCGCAACATTTTGTTGCGAAATCGGTGTAGTATGCGCCTAACAAACACAAACCACGTGGTCCCGTGCGCACCACGTTACTACTCCGCTACAGAGCGCGGCGCGGCTCTATTTACCCTCAAATTACCCCCCTAAAGGCGCTGTGAATGGCGCGCGAGGCGGAATGAATTCACGGGCGAGTGTTATTCGGCGATGGGGGGTCTTTTATTGACGCGAACTGAAGTTATTGTGGGTGGCGCGGCCATGCTTGTGGCTGTGGGGGGCGGGGAGGGGGGGCGGTGGTGGTGTTTCTTCGCTCTTAATGGCGCCGTTTTCCCCAAATGTATTTGTAATGTGAAAACGTACAACCGCCGTGTAGAAAAAAAACAGTGGACGGTTTTCGGCGGCGTTTCGGTGCGTCACGTTCGCGCGTTCGAGGCGCCTCCACTGCGTCTTTTCGTCGCGCTGCTCTGCCATGCTGCCTGCCGCATTGTTACAATGGCGGAGGACACGGAGGGTGTGCGCGGAGGTGGCGTCGGGCACCGTGGTGACGGTGGTGAAGGGGTTCATTTCACCCCTTTTACGTGTATTTTTTGTATTTCTTTAAGGGGGTCCGGTCGCGCGGAGGCGCGGGGATTAAAAGAGAGTTAATAATAAGGGGGTGTGTATGTCGCGGAAGGATTTTCAATATGTCCGCAGCTCTCTTTGAAGAGGGAGGCGGAGGGATCTGCCACTGTTGCTGGTGGCTGTTGGGAAGGAAGCGAGCATTGTGGGAGATGTAGTCCTTTAAAAAAAAAATTACAATTGGCTTAATTTGTCATATTTAATATGTCGAGAATTGCTATACAATAATGAAAACCTAACTTGACTGCCATAAAATGAGCCTTAATTACTATATTTCCATGTTTTATACCGTCAGTTGTGTTACTTTAATACTGGCTAAGATTATAGCTCACTGCTGACAATTTAGTTTTGGCCCAACAACCAATGGGGGGTTGAATTATTGATTTATAGTTAGTTAAAACTAATAATTCTGTACTGTGAAATGTCATAAAAAGAGTGGGAACATGTCCACGACTATCTCCTGTAGAGCCTAAGGTGAGGTCTTCTAATAGACAACAATATTACAATACAATATTATTTACTATTCGAGAACATTCTTGTATTTGAGACGCTGTAACCATAACGTTTGGCTAATTTGCTTTAAAAAATGTGTATCGCTTTGTCAATATACTTATGAAGAAATCAGATTTGTTTTGGTCCGTTTAGTACCATAGTGATCTGGGACCTGAACTCCTGTTTGAAGCTTTTATCCACTCTAACCGGGTTGCAGGCGGTTCCCCTGTAGTGGTTTCTGTGATTTGGTGAAGTGAAGGCCCAGTTGGTCATGTTCTGGCAATGGATGTGTTTGCTGGATATGCCGCTGCAGTGTTTGTAAGCCCGTGTGTGCATGTATGTGTGTGTGTGTGTGTGTGTGTGTGTGTGTGTGTGTGTGTGTGTGTGTGTGTGTGTGTGTGTGTGTATGACGGTGTGTCTACACAGTCTTTTTCTAGTCAATTGTTTTCGGTGTTTGCACTGAGGCAGCTGAGTCAGTACAGATAAGAGCTTGGCTACAGAGGATCCCAGAGATACTGAGCTGGATAGAGTATGTCAGAGGAAGTTGGTTTAACATTTCCACCCAACTGTCTCAAATGTCTTTTCCCCACAGCTTAAATGGGGTGAAATATTAGCGGGCTCAATTATGCTCTAATTACATCGTAACTGGAGTTTTAGACAATGGGTAAAGTCCAGTAAAGACACTGTCATACCGCATGTGGTGCTTGTGAGGTGTCTTATGAAACATTACTACTGCTTCAATGGCACGAAACATTAACACTCCTTTCGCAAAAGTCAAACTAAGCAGCGTTGAGTGTTTTAGGGTGAAATAATAGTTTTGTTAATCCCTGCGATGCCTCACTACATTTGACCCCTGGTTGCTGGTCGATTGAGATTATTTATTCTTCAATATTCCCTTTATGTCCACACAGATAAAAAGAAGATGCAACAAATGAAGTATTTTATAACATGTCCTATGGTACTGGCCCTGGCTGTCTTTGGATTAGGATTCAGTATGTAAGGGTGATGCTTTTTTTAAAAACATTTTTACTAACTAACTGCTCTCCTCCCCTCTCTAGTCTGGCCAACATTCCTCTGACCCCCGAAACAGCCCGGGACCAGGAGAGGCGAATTCGCAGAGAGATCGCCAACAGCAACGAGCGCCGGCGTATGCAGAGCATCAATTCCGGATTCCAGTCACTCAAAACACTCATCCCACACAGCGACGGAGAGAAGCTCAGCAAGGTGAGTAAGGTGGGTCACGGGAGAGGTCCGATCGAGCTGGGGGGCTACGCGCACTTTACACAACAGACCCGTCACAGGCTTCTTCTTCTCCTCCTCCTCTCTACCCCAGGCTGCCATCCTCCAACAAACGGCAGAGTACATTTTCACGTTGGAGCAGGAGAAGACGCGTCTGTTGCAGCAGAACAGCCAGCTCAAACGAATCTCACAAGTAAGGCGAGCAGAAAGTGAACAGGCTCTGCCGGGACATTCTGTCGTCAGGGGCATCGCGGATATCAAATTTCCGTTTGTGCTCTCTCCCCAGGAGTTAAGTGGTTCCTCCCCTAAGAGGAGGCGTGTGGAGGAGAAGGACGAAGGGATTGGCTCACCAGACATCCTGGAGGAGGAGAAGGCCGAGGACTTGAGGAGGGATATGATCGAGTTGAGGCAGCAGCTGGAGAAGGAGCGTTCCGTCCGGATGATGCTGGAGGATCAGGTAAAAGGAGCAGACGCTTCAGACCACCCTGAAGGTCCGTGTCACACGTCCGAGTGCAGAGGCTAACCCCCAACATCTCCCGCTGTGCGCGTCAGATGCGTTCCCTGGATGAGCAGTTGTACCCGGAGAAACCAAAGGCGATCACCCATCAGGTCCAGGAGCCCCGGACCCAGAGCCTGGTCCTTTCTCCAGCCCACAGCCCACAGGTTGGACACGTGTGCATACTGTATATCGCTGACTGGACATAAAACGGTCGAATCCTTTTTGAGGATCAGTCGGATACATTTGAATGATTGTGATTGCATAGTGTGCTTTTCATGCTTTCATGTTGCATTAGTGGGCACAAATGGAACAGGATATTATATTATAAGGTATGTTTTCTTGGATGGGTGTATTCCCACCGTACATTGCCCCGCCAAGTTCCTAACCGCTGCCTCAAGAGACGGCCATTCCCAATTTTTAGTCCTCACACAGTTTCCGTTTCAATCTCCAAAGACTCCCGCTAAACCTGTCCAGGAATAGCAGAGCAAAGAATCCTTTGGGTTCTGAAAGGCTTATGTCTTGTTGTATTAAGCAAACGTAATCTCAATTCGTAACAAGGACAGCGAAGTGGTTCAAAAACAAATCTGAAACATAAAATTTCCTCGGTTAAAAAGAGCAAAATAAAGTTTTTCTTTAAAGATTCTGTCCGCAACCTTTAGAGTTGTTTTTTTAAACAACAATCGTTGCAAACAACCCATTTAAAATACTTTCAAATTCAGTGTTTAATTTTAAGTTAGTTTTAAGCTGCCACCAAAATTGCCCTCCCTCCGCCTGCGTGTAGCTGTAAAATTGTCTGAACTTCTTTGGGTCAATCGAAGCTTAAAAACTTTCCACACACATACCTGCACTCATGTCAGTGTACCAGATGCTACCGTGTAGGTAGACTCACTCACAGTGTTTTAAACAAGCCGATCTCGGGTCTTTTTTAGCCACGGTTTCCTGTTTCCTGGAGACCGACACGTATGCTGTCTATAGGAGACTTTGTGACCGGCCAAGCGGATCTCAGCCATAGTCATATGGCTGAGATCTGCTCAAATCAGCATCACTGTGATCTGACAAAATTAGCCTCAGTTACAAGGAGGGGGATAATAGAATTACTCAAATATATCCTTTTTTGTTATAAACAGATAACATTTCTTTTGTGGTTATAGATTATGTTCTGACATCACATTTGAACTTCGCCGTATTGATGGAAAACAAACTCGTAATACATGAAATCTTTAATCAATGAAGGGGATTTGAAAATAAAAGCACGCTTCTACTTTTTTTTGATGACATTCGGATTTACGTTTGTGTTCGAGTTGATCATTAAATTCTGTAAAGTAATAATTACAAGAAGCTTTTACTGAACATTTAAGTTTCACTGTATGACGCATCCGTTAATTAGCACCAGTGTGGGCCCGTGTGCTCCTCTTGGCTATGGCTCGAGTATATTCACAGTGTGTAAGCAAAGCGCTCGGGAAAAATCTGAGCACTGAGCACCCTTGACTTTCTAGGAAAAATCGAGCTCAAAACACTCGCGTGAAACATCCCAAACATAAGTGCAGGAGAACATTTAGGTTGGTGAGAGATTCATAACATCAGGCCTAGTTAACATCAGCTGTATTCACGATGTATTGTGTAATATACTGCCAGCATTATATGCTGTATGTGCACAGATATGCATTTATATGCATGATATAATTATATTAGTTTGCACTGGTTAGGTGTTCTCTCCATTTTAACTATTCCTTACACTTACCTTACTTTCTACTTGACCATTACAATATGTTCGCACAGACTTTAGAATATTGCGTGACTCTTCCCTTCCACCAGATGCTGGCTCCGGCCACCCCGCCTGCACCCACACACCACGCCACAGTAATCGTCCCTGCACCTGGTCCACCGGCCCCGCCTCATCACGTCACCGTGGTTACCATGGGCCCGACGTCGGTTATCAACACCGCGTCCACGTCTCGACACAACCTGGACACCATCGTTCAAGTAAGACGAGAGCCGACTCGTGGGACCATTTCCGGCGGAATTGGTTCCCTGAAATCTGACCACCAGAGGGTGCCGTCGTCGTCTGACATCACTTTTCCCTCCAGGCAATCCAGCACATCGAGGGCACCACCCAGGGGAAGGGCAGCGTCGGCGAGGAAGAGCAGCGCCCGGCGGTCATCGTCACTCCAAGCTGTGTCCTCTCCGACGCAGCGGGATCGGACACAGCCTCCAACAGCGACGGGCCCGACAACTGCTCACTGCCCTGAACCCCAGCCCCCCCCCATTCGACGTCTCGCACGCCGTATACTCGCATACACACACACACTCTCACACACACACACACACACACACAAGGCCCAGGCGGACCGTGGCTGCAGGAGGCTTCAAAACCGGCAGCACTCTAGTGGACATTAATAGGGCTGGTAGACGGATTGAAGCGGTCCGCGCTCCTGACATGTTTTGGTTGTGATAGGCAGCCCTAATAGGTTTACACTCATACATGCATTCTCTTTATAGTCCGTTTCTGCTCTTCTTAAAGGCCCCGCTGTTTCATATTTCTCTTCATTAATCTATAGAGAAGTTCTCAGAGCGACCACCTCGCTGGCTGACCCACAATGACCCGCCATTCTGGCTAGTAGAGTGTCTGCTAAACATCACGATTAACATTTATTAAAGCCCCGAAGCCATGTGACTAATTCACAAAAAAAAAAGGGAGAAAAAGAGCCCAGCAGTGTGGCGTCATCCCCACCAAACACCGGAGCATTTCTGTTTCGGATCCTTTAAACGTTCTCCGAGCTGTTTGGACAGACACTGTGAATCAACGAGACTGTTTCAAAGTTCCACCGTTTAAACTTCTGGATGAAAGAAAATGTTGTTTTACTCCTATGAAGTCTACTTTTTCATGTTTTGTTTCTTTTAAAGCTCCCTTATCCAGCAACTTAAAGTGATTGTACTGAAGAGAAAAAAAACGCACAAAGTCAACGGGAATTAAAGAGCTGTTTACTGGTGCTCACAAGAAAAGGGCAGCAAAGATTGGGAGGAGAAAGTGCGCTTACAGTTTTGTTTTTTTGCCATTTCCTTACTGGGCTGGGTTCCCAGTAATCCCACAAATGTAATAGGCATGTTCTTCTTTTATACCCATGTCCTGACAAAATATATCAAAAATATCAGTGCCCTGTCATGAAAAAAACATCCCTTTTAAAATTTTAAAAGCACCAAGCGTGTTAAGTAGGTTGATCTGTGGGTACATTTTGAGTGATTTCCACTGGTGTGCGTTTGTGCAGAGCAGTGTCCCGGACTCTGGCAGTCTGCGACCTGTGCAGAGGTGCACACACTCACACAAACGTGACTCCTGTTCAATCGTAAAGGCTTTGTTCATTCTTCCAACTGCGGTGTAGTTTCTTGTCCGAAAGTTGGGACGTCTGTCAAAGCAGACTAGAATTCAAATACAAGGAAAGATGCCGGTTGAATGGTTTGAATGTGCGATGGGAGTGACTGGGTCTGAACCACACGCGCTCTATGCATTTGTTCTCGTCCTGCGTGCTTTTCGTCTTTCGTCATGCCATCTACGCGTTTCTGCTCGGATCATTCTGTGAACGTTTCTGCCTGGAACCGTGGCTCGACAGAGCGACGGTAGGACTTGTGGAGCGAGGTCGCTTGCCTTACTAGTATCCCGTGGGTGCAGCCTCTGGGGCCTGAGAGACGGACCTGAACTCTGGACCGTGGCTGCTTGGTGGCCACCGGTTTCCCTCCAGTTTCCCCCCCTCGCACGCTCCAAACAGGCTGGTAAACAACCTGGTTAGTTGGAACATATATTCCCAGGTATTTTGTCTTTTTGGTTGTTTTTTTACGTTTCATTTTGTTTGCCATAAGCTTCAATAGGTGATCTGTAGTACTAATACATTCACGCTCTCCTTATGTAGTTTTTTTTTCCGGGACTATTCCAAGATACATGCTGTACTGAGTCCTGCTTGGATTTACATTTAGACCTTGCGACCCCTTTGTGTGCACTATTAAAGCCAGATGTGTGGTGGGGGAAAAAAATCCACAATCAAATGTTGACATTCCGTATAATTTCCAAAATGTTTCCATGTTCGGTTCAAGCGAAACCTGATCGATTTTAGATATCAGTTGCATTTAGCGCTTTCGCCATTAGAGTCCTCTGCATCAGTACATAGATGGAGCTTTGACTGCTGGACAGATAACGTGTTCATTTGAACGCAAACCCATCTATCAAGATTTATGTCAGAAATATTGATGTCGTGTCATGGGGCATCTTATCACCAGAGGCAGCGGATTCCTGAATATGGAAAATGTGACTTGCAAACAATGCTTCTTGTGGAGCCCTGCGATTCTTTTCTTTTTTTTCCTCCCGAGTATCTGCGCTTGATCATTTTCTGCTGAATCCCAGAGCTGTTTAGTTCCATCTGTGTGACACATATCGACTTGTCAGATGGGCGGGGTGGGCCTGGGGATCATTAAACGGGGTCATGATTACAAAGCACTTACTGTAATATACTGGAGTCCGCCTCTTTCATTTATATAAAGGGGCGTCTCCTCAGCTGAAGCTCTTTTAGGGTTATGAGTAAAAGCTGTGTATCCCCCTTTTCCTCCAACATCTTGTCCCGTTTGCTCCTCTCTTCTGTTTATGCTCCCTTTGTTCATCAATTGTCAATATCTCTTGTGTCCCTTCACATTTCACCGCTCCCTCCTCTCGCTCTCCTTTCGTCTTAACTGTAACTTTTTTTGTTTTGTTAGACCTGTCAGTGCATATGGTTGTCAAGAAGCTATTTTGTGTCTGTTTTGTTTTTAAGAGAAATGGTTTGGGGATAAAGAGGCTTGTGCCTTTGTAAAGAGAATAAAGTTTGTACTTTGTTTTTTATGAATTCGGCCAACTGTGTATGTTTGTTCTCTGTTAGTTTGTCTTTAACATGAGTATTTTATGCTTAATACTGACGTTGGCGCTGACTGTTTTTATTGCACCGTAGCGACACAACCAGCTGAATTTGTCTCATTTCTAGTGACAGTTGGCCGTCACTCAAACAGTACAGTTGACGTACAAGTGTCGATTCCTGATTGGTGGTCGGGGTTGTGAAACCCCTCCCCCCTCTCTTGCTTAACAGCTCATTGCTAAATTAAGATCGTCCACCTTACGTGTGACAGCTAATGTACTGTGGTGACAGTAGGTGGCATCTCTTGCCATCATCCCCTGACATGAGTTCATTCATTCCAGGCCTCTTGTTCACACCCTCACACGTTCATCGAGAAATGACTTTGTTTTCTGTGTTCAAAGAGGCTCATTCATTTATTATTAGCATTTTTTTTAGGATATTGTAGCAATGTGCAATGACTGTTAATTAGCATAGACAAAGTGTACAAAAACATCATATTTGACTGTATTATTAATATGTACTTGCCGTGGTTGGACATGGAGCAAATAGAAAATCTATGTGAGCTATTTAGGTGGCATCTTTTCAAGGAGCAAAAGTTTTTATTAGGACATTTAGACAAATATCCAAAGCTCAACTGTAATTTGTCTTGTTGAGCCAAGGCCAAGGTTATCTTTGTCTCTTTAATAGATAAAATGTTAATTAAATATCTGAAGAGTTTATCAAGTTTATATTTGATATGAAAAGCACACCTTTTCTCCTCTAAAAATCATCCCACCACCAGGGAAGTTATGTTATGCAACAAAATGACCGCAGTGTATTGTTTGGACATTGAACAGACTTCAGAAGAAACGCCTGCCATATTTGCTAAAATGTTGATTCCCAAGGAATTGTGAGATTATTTTCACCCCAGACTTTCTGCTTGGGTGCGATAAAGCAGTAATCCGCCCAGTGTTATGATGCGTTAGGGACTCTAGGTAGACTTGAAGGCCTATATGTTCCAGTCATACACAATCACCCCCTCTTAAGCGATTTTATCAAGGATCATTTGTGTTTCAGAGAAGCATAATACCCAATACAATACGTGTAAGGAGTATAACGGTTAGGAGACTATTATTTAAAGAAAAGTTTAAATAGATTTGAAGCAGCAAACCTTTATGTCTAAAACATTTACCGTCATCCAGTCTCTGAAACAGAAAGTCTTTAAGTCCCTGTCACTGAGAAGTTGTGTGATCCTGCACTGACACATGGAGCCCGGTCTTGGTGCATTTATTTCAAGGCCAGAGCTGCGACCTCACTAAAAAGGAGAGTCAGCTGCTTGACTCCCGCAACACCTCCAACACACAGATCTCAGCCCCTCCACCGACGGCCCTCCCTATGCGCCGCCTCCTCTCTTTGCGTGCCCTTTAACCTTCCTGCCTTGGTATATATAGTTTGTGTGACTATCACAGTTCTCCTGGCAGCCATCATGAAGGGTACGGTCTTGATCTGCTGTTTCTTCTCCCTGCTGCAATTGCAGGCCACAGCAGGTAAGACGTTTAGATGGTATTTGGTCAAACACCTGCTGGGTTCCTGGTCATTTATTTTATTGGGTGGTACATCGTGGGAAGGAAATACGTTTGGGTCCGAATGCTTCTGATGGATGAAATAGCGATGCGTTGTCATTTTCGAGGCTGGTTAAATGAACGTTTAATTAAATGATGATCGCTGTGTTGCTCGTTCATGCTGTGAACCTCCAGAGATTCAGAGGCTGCGACTCAGACTCTTCATCCTGGAGGCACTTTGGTCAGGAATGGCACGGTTTTCTAGAGACAGAGTGCGTTGGGGACGGTCACAGTCATGAGGACACCAGCCGAGGATAGACAGCGACAGAGACAGAAATGTAAGCCCTTCGCTACCAAGGAGGACTATTTCAAATCTCTCTCGGTTTATAATTAAACTGTTGGCACCCGGCACAAAATGAAAGCTTCGAGTGGGCCTCTGCTTTTTTTAATGTTTTTAATTATCAAACTCCAAAACACACCAAAACTTTGGATGAATAAAGAAATGTGAGAAATAGAGTTGAGTCTAAAAAGGAGAGCAGTTGAGAATAATTCAAACGAGGGTTCAGGCTCTCCCGTGGACTGACAGCATGTCAGCTGTCCTAATGTATGACACCAGCTGATGGAAAGTCTTAGAATAACCAAGGAGAGAGAAGCCAGGCGGGAACTTGAATGAACATTTAAAGAAGTGCGTCTCTTTGCGTCAACTTTATTTTCAACAGCTTGGTTTAGAATTGTTAATCCAGACCATAAATACCACTAAGGCACAACATTTCCTGCGATAACAATCCATAGCATCGTAAACCACAGGGATTGAGACAACCTCACGATACAGACAATTAGATGGCGCTAATGAAGTTGATTGGCATAATGGAAACATCTTCACCCGGATTACCTATTCTAAAACTGCGGAATGGTCACATGGTCTGGACGGGAGCGACTGGCTTTACCCTTGTCCGTCACCCTTGTCCGTCCTTGGGGTGGCGTTCAGCTCCACAGCGCCGGGCGCCCAGGGCTCCATATTCTACGCTGCTGTCAAGTGTCTAAGATTGGAAGACCTCCTGAAACCCAACACTGTTCATTACAGTTCTTCCCTCCCTCCCTCGGCACTCCCCTTTCCTTCTGACTCCGGACCCCTCCCAGCCCCGGGCCTCCCTTTAGATACACAGCACAGCTGCTGTCACTCTGCACTGTCACAATCGCAATTTATTCCCAGCAGTTGACCTTATAGGGACATGCATTCTCCGGGCAGGAGGGGCCTCGCTTTGGCTGCAACTCGTGCCTCCGTGGAACCCTTCTGCGGGCCCATGCATCTTTTGGTTGCCTTTGGTGTTCATTTTTATAAGCTGCAAAGCAGACAGGAGTTTTGAGTCCGATACCTGCAGGGCATGAACAATAATGAGATGCGCATACTCCTTGATGCTCAGTGCGTAATTATTGGTGTTATCGATCTGTTAGATCATTGTCAGGAACCCCGTTCATCAGATTTTGTGTACAGTTTGTGAGAAATACTGCTGACCCATTGACATGGTAATCTGGATGTTGTTGATGTATTTAATGTTGCTAATTTCTGTCTCAAACAAAACAACATTTGGATGTAAGGCAGTGGCATTGTGACTTTTGAAATCATCGGTTTATAAAAATGTATGGAGAGACATCATTAGGCTTTGGCATCATTAAACACCTGCAGGTGTATCAAGGCAAAAAATATCTCCCAGACATGCTGAGCTCACCTATCGCTGCCTGAATCATTTACATTTAGTCATCTCCCTGCATGTGTTCAATGTCTCCCATCTTTCATACCAAAGCAAGGAGCAGAGAAAGTTTATGTTTTTAGGTGGTATGAATATGTCAGTAGGCCAAACTGGCCCCATGATGCTGCTCACTTGTCATGTAGGTGTAAACATAGGTTGCTATAGTAATGACTGGGTTATTTAAAGGTTGCCAGAAACCCAACACTGATCAGGTCTTGTGTGAATGGCGTTGAGTGACCGACGAGAATTGAATCCACGTTCAGAGTTCGCTCTCGTGTTTGAGTGTGAACTGAGTTTTAAGAAAGCTGCTCAACCGACATAAAATGGCGCTAGTGCAAAAACATTTATAACATGATGGTAAAATGCCGCTCCTGAGAGCTGACTTGCATGCAAATACATCACAGCCTCTTTGGGACCTTGATTAGTTCTTCACACCAATATGTTTATACTTCAGTGGTAACACTATCCACCCTCCATACAGCAAAAACATCTTTGACCTCCTCATATTGCAGAAGGGGGACGCACTCTCCACGTGATCCCCTCTGATGGTATGTGGATGTCTGGGACATCCCTACGCTGGTGGGAGACGGATTAGGAGGGACGCACCAGTCACACACAACTGCCTTATAACACAACCCTTCTTAAGACAAGCCACCCCGTCCCAAGGGCACATGACTTCCTCTCCTGGGTTTTAAAGCAGAGGTAGAGGCATCATACCAACATCTCAGGGTTCCTTTGACATCCTTTGAGCTGGTCACTATTATATATCCACTTGATAATGGTCTCTCAGAGGACTAATCTAATAAATTACAGGGTTTGGCTCAGATCACGTGGTCTGTAAGGGCCAGTGGCAACCTTTGGTATTTTCTGTTTGGATGTTGTTTTTCCACCCTAAAACAAACTTTTGCATCAATAAAATAGTCTAGCGTCTGCATTAATGGAATTTAAAATAAATACATTCTGTGTAGAATAAAGGAATGTTACTATGGATCTAATTCCATTTCTTGTATGAAATGCAGTCCAATGGCATGCATTGCACAGTCCACTCTCAGAGATGTTGATGTTTCTGGGTCTCCAAACTGACTAAATTAGGAGCCAACTATCACTGCCCCCTCCTCTGTCCATCTTCTGGCCCATTGTGGGTCTATTTTTGACTATGGGGGAGTTCTGGCTCCACAAGCTGGGCCACCTGTTGCAAACCGTGGCCTCCTCTCGCCAGGCCCTGCACGAGCTCTGCTGACTGCTCTCACAGCCCCTTGCTGAAGAACAAAATGCTGTGCATTTCTGTGCCTACAAGTTAATTTGGTATTCAGTGGGCTTCGGCGGGTGTCAATTTGAATGAGGCCAATGCCTCTCTCCATGGATCTTTCCGGTGGAACCCCCCGGCCTCTGGTTAAGGTCACCTGAATCCCCCTGTGCTCAGGATAAATTCGCTGGGGATTCCGGGCCTGTTGCCCTCATCATGTTTATAATTCAATTTAATGGCACCACGCTCCAAGCAGAACATGATCCGGTGATTTTGTAGATATACCGCTATGCCAAATTGATACAGAGTAAATGCGCATGGCTGCAGATACATACTAGGACACACGACAACATAATGCAAAGAGGGTCTTCCCTGGTTGTATTTTCTGACTACATTACACTGTTTGCTTTTGTTCTTATGAGAGTGTTAATTAGTTGACCGAGCTCAAGATGGGTTTTTGTTTAGTGTATTAAATGCATTGGACAGGGATTGGCTCCTTAATTTATAATATCACAAACAATACAACAAGAACAACAAAGTGCAGAGCTTTCTTCTCTCAGCAGCGTAAATATGTTCATACATCCATCAATCTTAATAGTGAAGGCTGTTTAAAATTGAGCAAATATAGACCGTTCACACTTACAGGAGGTGATTGACCTTCTTTCTGACGATTGAATAGCCTCCACACAAGGATCTATAGTTGAGGTGTGACTTACTCAGCCACTGAGGCTTAAATCTCCAACATTCCCACTGGATGTGCTGATGCCAACAGAATGTTTCTCCAAACTAAGGCAGGGTTGTGTGGCAACGGGCTCACTGCGGACACGTGGTCCCGGGCGCAGATGTCCGGGGGTTCAACTCTACTGGCGCCTTCAGGGTTAATTTTGAGCACTGATGCAAGGCCCGCCTTCTGCGGGCAACACTACCGCTGTGATCTTTGCAGACCTTTGTCCCAGTGCTTCCATCGGGGATTGACTGGATTGGGAGGCGTTAACATACTCGAAGCAGTTAAGGCCCGCTCAAGGGGCTTGTGTGAAAAGACACAAACCCTTCTGAGTGACGAGTCATGTTACAGACGCTTGGGTGAGCTTGGTGTGCTGCAGGGAAAGGCCTGGTACGGTGAAGAGATTGGACGTGTTCCTCACAAGCCACTTCCGCCCCCAACTCAAATTATCCTCAGTGTCCTCTGAAAGACGGCTTCTTTGAAACACACTTCATTGTGTAATTCATCATGACTCGATATGACAAAAAGCCGGCATGTGCGCCGTTGTTGGAGGGTTGCAAAGTGTTGGCTCATGCAGAAACAAAACATTTTTGTTTGGGATTGTAGTGATCATCTGACCTATGATGCAGGATTTGAAATTCCTTCAATTGTAAATATCGAAGTAACTTATTTTGCCATAACGTTTTTGCCTGTCTGGCACTCTTACCAATATGAGCTCAGACGCATTTCCTCTTGCTTTCTTCTGGCAATAGCTGATATACATCATTTTATTCTATCAACACATCCTATTCTTACACTTGAAAATACAGAACAGTCACTGAATCTTTTTAGCCACTGCAGTATTACTCATGCCCTCCTTTAGTCTGGGAGCTAACCTTTAGGTTTTTCTGGTTCTTGCACAGTGCTCAGAGCAACATTAAACAGGCTTATTTTTAGCAGGTGGAGAATCACTGGTGCTGCATTGTTCCTTAACCAGCAGTGTGTGTCATTGCTGGCAAATGAGCAAACTGTTGCTCTCTAAAAGAGCAACAGCCGGGGGTCTCATATAAAGGCTGAGCCGTGCTTTATTATTGTAGGGGGTATTTCCTACTCGTTACATCATTGTTTACCTTTGCACATACTGTGATGAAATGGGCGAGAAGATGCATTAATGCAAGATTAATCAAAGTGGAGAAAAACGTGTTTGCATTATACCTTGTTCATATGATATGTTTGATTATGAGTCCTCTTGACTTATCTCTGATCAAAACATGGTTAGAGCCAAATGAGGTAGCAGTTGAAAGGATAAAAAGGTGAGAAGTGGCTAAAGCCAGACTGTATCTGACTGCAGTGTCCACCTTCAAGTCTGAGATGTCCGTGAAATAATATTTAAACAACAAATGATTGTGCTTCACACCAGTCCATCTTACTGATTATTACTGCATTCGTTTTCAGTCTGTTGAGGGGTTTCTGCAATATTTGAGTGTGCAGCTGAGGATGTTGGATCAAACTTTTCAGTTGAGCATTAAAGCACAGAACTACATTTTGACATTAAGTCATTGTTTGATTGTGAACAATGTGTTTCCTGTGCCAGTAAACTAAATTAAACCAGCCTGTGCTGACCGGAGGTACGAATGACTACAATTAATCCCCCCTTCATCCACTACCATTGGATTTAAATTCCAGTAAGAAGCTTTAAATTCACTAACAACTCTATTACGGCCGTGTCTGAATTTCAGACCCATCAGGGACCTAGAAGTATGAGCCAGGAAGACTTCCCCTCTCCTGCTATAAGAAGCTCATAGCCCTGGCAGCTTTGCCTGAAGCCGGACTGAGTGGCAGGCGATGCACGAAGGCTTGGATCACCCTAACTAACTGTGCAATAGGCCTGTGATAGTTGAGTAAAAGAGAAAGCCCCTGGATTGCACAGTATTCTCTCATAGTGTATTCCATGATGGACTAGGAAAGTGTCGATCTTTCTCTTTCTCTTTCTCTTGCTTTCTCTCGTTCCCTTTCTCTTTCTCTTTCTCTTTCTCTTTCTCTTGCTCTCTCTCTCGTTCCCTTTCTCTTTCTCTTTCTCTTTTTCTTGATCTCTCTCTCTCGTTCCCTTTCTCTTTCTCTCTCTCGTTGTCTTTCACTTTCTCTCTCCTCTCTAGGCCCCTCTTATCTTTGCTGTAGCTATAAAGCCCCTGGTGATGACAAAACAAGCGGCTAAGTTGGCTTTCAGCACTTGCTTTCTAAATTAAGAGCTGATTGTACTAACAGCTGAGAGTGAGCCAAAGTGGACAAGACATGTTCAAGGTTATTTTCTCGCGCATTCGTTGTCACACACACATACATGGACAGGTTTTTTTTTTAGACAATAATGTTTAACGCTTGCTATCATTCAGTAAGGAATTACATAGAAAAGGAACAACATCAAGACAGATGCTAAGAAAGAGCACACGTATATTGAGTGAAGTAGCTTCATCATGGGCCATGGAATATGTATCATAGTTTTATTTAACATATTATTTATATATTGTTATTATTTATCAATGTTTTTAACATTTGTAATTGGCTGGCATCCGACCTGTGGTGAGAGCCTCAGGATGAAACTGTCCCTTGGTTGGTTTTCAGCCACCTGGGTCCACTTTGGTTATTCATATTGTCAGATCATTACGACGTGCAGTGAGGACTTTCATTTTTTTTTCTTTCGTTTTTACAGAGGAAGAAGGAGGAGATGATTTCATCTCCGTCCTCAGGGACAGATCTCACATCGACGAGACGCTGAGGCTTGCAACGGAGGAAAAGGCAGGAGACTATGCAGGTGAGGGTCAGAGATGTGTTTGTGTAAAGGGGTATGCTTGCCTGTACTGTATCAACACCAATATAAGTTAGCTCAGTGAAGCATTTCAAGTGGTTGAATACGTGTCATCCTTCCCACTCCCTAATTTTCCTTCAATTTTTTTAAATAAAGATTTTTGCCGCATGTCTCTAATTATTGATTCCCTGCTAAGTGGTACTGGGAGTTTTACTGGTTTCGGCCTTCTAAAAAACTACAAACTAATGTAAAAATTCCCAGTTTTCCATTTTTCCAAGGCCGTTTTAGGAATCAATAGGGTGAATGGCTGGAAGCCACTGTAATAATTCAAAAGTGAGACATATTCCCAAAGTGCTGGCAAAGAAACATTTGTACTTTCACAGCCTTTTCATCTTTGCGAATCCAATGGTTACCATCCCTCTTTTCATCCTTTCTCCTCTCTCACATTGTACTCCAGCGGCTCTAGAGCGATTGCGGAAGATCTACCACACGTCCATCCGGCCGATGGAGCAAGCCTACAAGTACAACGAGCTGAGGCAGCACGAGATCTCAGGTATCACAGAAGCTTTGGCTGAATCTCTACTTCGTTCTCATGTGTTGGTTTCTCTGTTGAGGTTGCTTTTGTGACTGATTTGACAAACAAATCATCCTCACACCATCAACCAGTATACATAACAGGAATATATTTTTTATTTTATCATATGTTACCAACTTATGTGAGGGCACTATTTTATTAATTGTACGAGTACCTTTAGAGATCATTTGAAAGCATTTAGATACAGAAATGATCTCGATTCATGCTGCTTAAAAAAATATTTCTTCCCCTTTTCTTCTATTCATTGACATACTTTTGGTAAATGAGTGTGAACTGTTGCTTCGCTGTAAGATACTGCACAACTGCACACTGAAGGAAATAAAGCTTGCCCACTTCGGGCCTTTTAGGGTTGGCATGCATGCACTTGACAAATATCAGACTTGCTCCAAATAAAAAATAAATTAGAGTCTGAAGTAGAAAAAATGTTCACTTCACCGACCAAAAATGCGGACCATCCATTTGTGCATGGACATGTTTGACACATCAGGTCAAATATGCGACATACTCACCCATTCATGCAAATTGTTACTCCACCCCTCCCTGGTGCTGCCAGACATCTCACGCCCTCACTCCTCACTCTCCTCCACCTCCTGTTCCCTTCGCCTCTGTATACCCCACCTCCTCCTGTACCCAACCCCTGCGCTCCCCTCATCTAACAGCCTACCCCGGACGAACCCTGGGGGACTCATCCACAGGTGGGTGTGGGCGGGGCTTACCTGTGCATGGCACGCCCCGAAGCGCTCATCCCCTTACTTTCCCCCTTCATTTGTCCACATACATATGTGTGAGCCGATTGAACACTGCTTATTTTGGGTGGCACTCAGGTGTAGCATCGCATATTGGGGTGTGTTCAAAGTGATCCACAGGTGAAGGGTTCGACCCAAGCAGAGCAGTGCAGCAGCAGTTCCATGTGTAGATCAAAATGGATTTGGAGAATTCGGAAAATGGAGCTCCATAATTTAAATTCCATATAAAAGAATTAAAAGGGAAGAAATTTAAAATGCAACAAGTTTTAGAGATGTTCAGATTCATAGTGTTTTTACAGAGAAACCAAGCATTAAGTTGTGCAAAGCATAACACTTGAAATATGGAGGGAGTTGCATGTGCAGTTCTGGCTTTCTCAAAGGATATCGAGGTGTGAGACACTGGGACACTAGTGGGAGAGGATTGTCAGTGTTGGACTTGTGGGTAACTTGCTGACGTTTGGTCTTCTTTATCCTTTTCAAAGCCTCTAGAATAATAGTTGTGCTTTGATTATGATATTGTCGATTTCTAATATTTTTTCATTGGCTCATTTTATCCTCATTGTCTTTTGAATTCAGTCAGCTTTGGACAAGTGGGTTAAAACAGATCTTGTCCGCCTCCCACCCGAAACCATGTCCACTCACAACACACATAGCAGGTTGTTATGAGACACACAGCTTGCTCGGAAAGCTTGCACGGATGAGTCAATGGCACTGCTTTGACATTGTTCACTGTTATGGCTGCAGCACTTCGCTGGGATGTATCTTATGCTATTAAACATGCATAACAGCTTCAACCCACCTTAGTCCATCTTTCTTCATATTAACTTTAATATTTCTCTGCGCTGCTCATTGAGACTGAAAATGATATCCGGATGTGCCTCTACTGTATAGTACATCACCAAAACCGCAAACATTTTGTATGTCGTGTGTTTTGGTTAAACTATCCTTAAATGGCACAAAATAATGGAGAATGTTGCAAACGTTGGCTTCCGTCGTTAACATGGAACAGCTGGAAGTTCTCGGGCCTTTTCTTCTCAGCCACAATAAAATCCCAGCAAAGTAGTTATCTTGTAATTTGTCATACAACATTTGAGATGGATTTGAGTGGTTCTTTGTCATTATTCAACAATCACGCAGATATATTTAACAACTGTTTCCACTGCTTTCCTGACAGATGGAGAGATTACCTCCAAGCCCATGGTGCTTTTCCTGGGGCCCTGGAGTGTAGGAAAGTCCTCTATGATCAACTACCTCCTGGGCATGAACGACAGCCCCTACCAGCTCTACACAGGCATGTTACACAGATTTCCCTCTTATTCTTTCTTTCACGCAGGCAAATAGCATCACAGGGGTACAGTAGAATATTACCCATGACTTCTTAAGAAGGCGCAAAGTGATCTTTGGCTCAATTCATTTAAAGCAGCTTTGATCTATATTCATTTCTATGTTCCCGTCCCTCTAATCATCTGGATATGATGTTATGTCTTAGAATGTGTTTCTCTTCTTGATACTATACCATTCATTCCTCTTGGTTTCCACGACTTTGTCCTTAGGAGCGGAGCCCACTACCTCTGAGTTCACTGTAATTATGCACGGAGAGAAGATACGCTCCGTTGAGGGTATCGTCATGGCAGCAGACAGCTCCCGGTCCTTCTCTCCCTTGGAGAAATTTGGCCAAACCTTCCTGGAAAAACTGATCGGGATTGAAATGCCCCACAAGCTCCTGGAACGTGTGACTTTTGTGGACACACCAGGAATCATCGAGAACAGGAAACAGCAGGAGAGAGGTAAGTTAGCAGGTTTTGTAAACATCACAGCAGCTGGCTGAACTCAGCATTCATTCTCTTCTTCTGTCCAGGCTATCCCTTCAACGACGTTTGCCAGTGGTTCATTGACCGCGCTGACCTGATCTTCGTGGTGTTTGACCCCACCAAGCTGGACGTTGGCCTGGAGCTGGAGATGCTCTTCCGGCAGTTAAAGGGTCGTGAATCACAGATCCGCATCATCCTCAACAAGGCCGACAACTTGGCTACCCAGGACTTAATGAGAGTCTACGGAGCGCTCTTTTGGAGCTTGGCTCCCCTCATCAATGTGACCGAACCCCCTCGCGTCTACGTCAGCTCCTTCTGGCCATATGACTATGCACCTGATACCAGCCGAGAGCTCTTCAAGCGAGAAGAGATCTCCCTCCTGGAAGACCTGAACCAGGTGATTGAAAACCGCATGGAGAACAAAATTGCCTTCATCCGCCAGCATGGCATCCGCGTTCGCATCCACGGCCTGCTGGTCGACCGCTACGTCCAGACCTTTAAAGAGAAGATGAGCTACTTCAGTGACCCTGAGCTAGTCTTCAAGGAGATTGTGGACGACCCAGACAAGTTCTACATTTTCAAATCCATCCTCGCCAAGACCAACGTCAGCAAGTTTGACCTGCCCAACCGCGACGCCTACCGTGACTTCTTTGGCGTCAACCCGATCACCAACTTCAAGCCCTTGACGGCTCAATGCTCCTACATGGGGGGCTGTCTGCTGGAGAAGATTGAGAGGGCAATCACCAATGAGCTGCCTGCCCTCCTTAGCAGCATTAACTCTGGGAAGCAGCCGGGCCTGTCCTCCTGCGAGGCAACTGGCTGCGGTGAAAAGCCAAAGAATCGCTACCGGAAGAACTGAGGAAACCAAAATAACTTGAGTGGGGAAAGAAAGAAGAGAAGGGGCCTGGTGGAAGCCAACCCTGCTTCTGTCAGGGCGCCTGTATTGTTGAGGAGACGGAGAATAGCGTGTGTTTGTTTTTTTTCCTCAGGAGAATATGGGGAGGTGCATTTAGGGACTATGGGAAGGAGGCAGGTAGAGGGAGGGGAGGGTCATTGTTTGATGAGGCAGCTTAAGGACACAAGTGCTGAAGAAATGAGAACATACCACTGATCACTGAATTTTGATGTGCTCCTGTCTCCCTTGCACAATCACGTTGGACTGTCTGGGATTTGGTGCTTGGGGAAGTAACTATGTGAACAAATGCTGAAATTAAAAAAGTAAGATCAAATAAAAAATTGAGATGAGATTGAAAACAGTAAAAATACCAGCTCCCTTGTATGTGAATAAAACGGGAAAAAGTAGAATCAGGACTTGTTCATTTGTGCTATGAAATCTTGAGAATTGCATCGCAGAGAGTAAATTCCATGCCCCACAGAAGCAGATTTTGAAGTAGCCTTTTTGTGGGTGCTGTACAAAGCCTTTGTGTTTGTCATCCAAACGTTTGCTTTTGACATAGATTGACTTTAACATTGCATGTCAGATTGATTTAACAGATACTTGCATGCCCTGCTAATATAAAGTTTAAGTAATATTTCCTTGTGCAACTGAAACATGAACCAACCCGCAGTGCAAAAAATAAGGCCTGTTTTCCCTTTTGGTTTTTTTTGCTCACCTGTCCTGGTTGTTGTCAATCGATGAAATGAGCACTGTGATGGAAGCAGAGGTCAGGTTGAAGGGTCAGACTCTTCGGAGCGGGGTGGGTACATTCATTCTTCTTAACTGTTCTTACTGCTTCTGTCCTGGTCTATATGGCTGTTTTTGGCAGAAATGTAATACTATGTTATCATGTTCAAACAATAAGCTTTTTTTTTTTAGTTGAACGACCATAAAAAATACCACATGAAGAATGTGTTAGATTATAACTATCTTTAGCCATTTCTCCTGCTATTTAGTGATTTGTATGTGAAAACTATCAATATGGGCATCGATGCAGGCTGTGTGTTTGTACTGAACATCGACCGCTAAGTTAAGCTTCCCCTGCAAGGTAAAGTGGAGGACTCACGTGTTGACCTCTAACCCCTGCGGAATAAAGGAATAACTGGATACAGACTTTTACACAGTGATACATTTCGTAGCTGCCAAGTCATATGTAAGCCTACCTCAATGAACTCCCCAGAGGGAGGGTTGAGTTGCTTAAAATAGTTTGACATTTTGGAGAGGCGTCACTATTCCGACGCTGGGCTATTTCTTGGGGAGTTACCGTGTGTGAAAGTTGTGCCAGTCTGCCAGAATGTCAAACAATCCCCAATGGACGGAGAAGCGGTAGTCGTAGGTTTCCGAAAGGTTAACTGATCAACTTCCGGTTCCCTTCTGCGTCCTCCCTCAACAATACCATCGTGAAAAGCGTTAATCCAACTAAAATTTGAAATGCAGTGGATTGAGAAGGAAAGTCGACTAACAAATTGACACAAAGCTTAATTTGCTCTGTTTATTTGAGTGTGAGTGCTCCACTGGATTTTAGTATGTTTACACTGCAGATCCTGAAGATGACCACTAGAGAGTGCTGTGTAAAAGTGTAAAAAGTTACACACAACACTGTTCGCCATCATTGCAACCATTTAAAGTGATTGGGTGATGCCGTTTGCTAAATATGTTGTGTGATTATGATTTTGATATATTTCAGCATTAATTCAGCATTAAATCTTAATGAATCTGTGAATTATATCTGGAATGGAATTGTGTCAAGTAGTTGTGGATTCATTGGTATAATATTTAAAACTAATCTTGGTGCAACTTTGGAAGCGCAACCACAAAGAATAAAGATTTCTGATTGACCAGGTAGTGAAACTTTGTTGTTACTGTAATAAAACTAGCAATCCTTAATTAGGGAGACTCATACAAGAAAACAGGCAAATTAAAAGTTGTTACGAGCAAATTTTCTTCATCGGTGTTCCTCCCATTCTCGCTCGGCATCACATCACAGCAAACATTTAGTTCCTTGATACTTTTCTCTGAAGGTTCAATAGCTCACTTTTGGATTTCGAATTATTGGGGGGGGGGGGTTATTCTGCAGCTGCAATGCACCAACAGTTTGTCGTGCCTGGAGGTGAGGAGGGGAGAGTGTGTGTGTATGTGTGTGTGTGTGTGAGAGATTCTGAGAAACACTGACTAAAACCTGCATGTGTTTCTCTGTGAGTCTATTTCCACTTTTCTTCAAACATCATTTTATATAAAAACACTGCAAAGAAGAAGACTGCAAAGGTAAAATTAAGTTCAGAAGTGCTCAAACACTCATATGCACACAGACCGAAGCCAATTCCCATTCATGCACACACACTGGGGCTATTTTGTGAGTGCGTACACAATATATTTTACACAATGACCTCATGTCAACAACATACTGCGTTATGAATTTCTTTTATGAATGAATGCCATAGCCAATGGACAGATCACACACATTAAAAACATAGCATACACATTTGGAAATCAAATGCCTTGAAAATCACCACTTCAGAGTTTCCTCTAATCAGATCCAAATGTGCAGTGACTCTTCTTTTTTATGAAGGACGTGCTTTTTTGTTCCCCTACAAGCAGGTGGATTGCAGTAAGGCAGCCACTGTCCCAAAACACTGCTCGACCGTGAAGCCACAGGGATGGTGTTTAATACTTCTTTGAGCTCACAGAATTCTTCTGCACACACATTCTGTAGGTTTCTATTGCCTCATCCATGAAAACTAATTTGTGTTATCATCTTGATGTTGCTGATGATGATATACTGTGAGTGTGCAATCACATTTTTGTATTATCCATTATCCTTTATATTTGAGCGTAGAGTAATTTAGTGACTTTGTAATATGAATACATTGTGTGCTGTGGCTTCAATAAAATTCAATCATATAACTTAATCTCAAAATAGACCTTTTAAATGTTTCCTCTGCTGTCAGGCAGACATTTCTATCCATATGAAGCACAGTTTATTCTAACCGTAAAGGGCAGTGAAAGGAAACACGAGAAGGTAAAGGGGCACCGGCTCATTGCGGTCGAAACAAGACGTCCCCACCCTTCTCAGAAGCGCGCGCTCGTCGCCTTTAACCCATTCTGCCAAGCGCGTGCACGCACAGCGACTGTACCCCCTTTCCCTCCTGCGAATAGTCTGCCCCTACTTTCCTCAAGCCAAAAGAAAATGCCAAAAAACGGAAGCACGTCCTTATTCATTTCAAAACAAAGTACCTCGGTCTGTCGTTTGGTCGAGGCTCACAATACGTCAGAGCCTTTTCTCTTCGTCTGCCAACGTGTGGCTGACATTTGAATACTTCGTGAAGAGGAACAATCGCAGTGCCGGTGCGCGCACCGCGACGCGCGTCGCCATCGAACGCACGTGTGGTTTTATTTTGAAAGGCTGAAGGAGAAAACGATCTTTTGTTTGGGCGCGCTTCACCCTTTTTTTTCACACGCGTATATACACGCGCGCACGCACGCACGCACAGCAGAAACTTGCGGCTGGACGGACGGGCGTCTGCGCACAGGAGACGGTGGCGTCTGTTGCCGCTGCGCCGCTGGAGCCCGGATAGCGGGCGCGCGTGCGCGCCCTGCGGATCTCGCGCAGGTGTCGACGTCGCCTCATAACGGTCAGAACAACGAACGTGAGACAGTCTCGTCTCACCGTGGACGATGCAGGGAACGCCGAGACGGCGCCCCCCACCGCTGAGCCGTTATCTGTCCACGGCATGAGTGGGATTCTTTAGAGGTATGGACGCGTTCTCAAGTGTAAACCGGGCGGTTCAATTCGGGTGGTTGGATCGAGGCAGCGCTGCGTGACCTGTGGGACTGTCGGCGTTGGGGGCGCGTGCAGAGAAGGTGCCGACCTTTTTAATGAGCCCGGCTCAATTAGATCGCCTGCGATTTAGACCGTGGTGGTCTAAGCGGCCAAAGTTCACTTCAGATGGAAGGAGAATACTTCGTGTAGTCTGATCAAGGCTGCAGTTTCTTATGCTCAGCCGTCTGGGGGAGGAGATAACAGCCAGGAACCGGAACCGTCAGAATATCAGGACTATTTCCTTGGGGTTTGCACTGTGAAGATGAATGAGTGACATTTGCTGGGACTGGAAACCAAATCCACACCCGATCAACCCCGATCCTTCACTGGGTGGTGCGGAGATCCTGGAGCAGCGCGCCTACACACACACACACACACACACACACACACACACACACACACACACACACACACACACACACACACCTATTGCAAATAGCAACAAAAAAAGGTAATCAAATGCACCCTGTCTCGTGCATTTGTCTCCTGCGGAGCTCTGTGCACGCGATACTCTTGGTGGCGGATCCGTCCAACGTGAAAGTCGGGAAAAGAACGAGGCCCTGCAGCGTGAGCACGTGGGTTCAGGTTAAAGCGCCGAGGTTCCGGTCATCCTGAGTGGTTGATGCGTCTTAAAAACCCAAAGCTGGCTTTCTACATCGAGACGGGAAACGGCTCGTTGAGTCAAAGCAAACACTGTGAGGGATGCGTTTCGGATGAAGGTTGGTGGAGTTGTAAACAAAACATTGTGAAGTCAGGAAGTAGCAGATCACTTGTTAAACTGAGAGAGAGAAAAAACGTGACCTGACATGCACAAGTTATGAAAGTGTGTTAACTGCAGCCTCTTCAAGACAACAACACAATCAACCTCATTTGATTTCCTGCAATCAGTAACGACATCTCAAGAACCCTTAACACATTTCCTCACTTCTTTGGTACCTCCTTGAAGAAGGAAAAAAAAAATCCCGTTACGCATTTTTTTGTAATTCTGAGTGACCCATATAACTGCCCGAAGAGAGGTACACGCGTGTGTGTGGGCAGCTGAGTGGCTTTGGAAAGGAACCAAGAAAGCAGCGCGTGAACCTTGCAGTCTCGAGTGCGCCAAAACAGACCGTAATGTAGAGGAATTCATGGTTTGACGTCAAGAGGGGCAATAATCAACTATTGAAAATCTTTGAAAGGTCTGTCTGCGTTTCTACAGCCACTAAACCACTAAACGGAGAGGAATTTCTCAAAAGGTTTCTCTTTGTGCTCTCCTTTTTACTTTTAAGAAAAAACAGTCATTGCCCTGTTCTAAAGCCTCCCCAGACGTTTGCCTTACTGCATTATCAACTTCATCACTGCATTATCTTACATTTTTATTTGAGAAATTTAAAAAGCAACATGGCTTCCCCCCAACACCAACAACTGCTGCCTCGCAACACAGAAGTGAGCTGTGACTCAAGTGGAGATGGAGGCGTCTCCGTGAGGATTGGCAGCAGTGCCAAACACAAGCATGGAGGCGGGCCGCTGGGTTCAATTGGGGGAGGCTTCATTGGGGGATCCAAGCACTGCAAGTACAGCATTTCCTCCAGCTGTAGCTCCGGAGAGTCCGGAGCCAGGAGGCCCGGGGCCAAGAGCAATCGCGCTCAGAGGAAGATGCCGCAGCTTTTTGAGAGATCTGCTGGTCACTTTTGGGACCCAAAGTTTGACTCTGCGATCCTGGAGGAGGCCTGTAGGGAACGGTGTTTCCCTCAGACCCAGCGGCGCTTCCGCTATGTGCTCTTTTTCCTGGTTACCGCCGCCCTCCTCTGGGGATTCTACTTTGCTGCCAACCCTTCCCGCTGTGACAGGACTGCCTTTCTCCTTCCCACCGCGTCTTTCCTCCTTTTCTGCCTCCTCCTCTTTCTCTTTACTTTTACTACGCTCTACTCTCACTGCTATAACCAAGCGTCTCTGCTGCTCATCATTGTAACCTTCACCCTAACGCTGGCCCCTCAGATTCAGACCTCAAGCTTCAGGGACCCGGAGACTCTCAAACCTTCACCCGATGTGGAAGAGTTCAGTGGCATGGGACCAACAAACAACCTGTCCTATGACAAGATCCCAGGCGATAACAGCTGGTCCCCTTGTCTCTCTCCTGTTGGCACCTTCTCCCTCTGTATCGAGGTTCTTCTGCTGCTATACAGCGTTCTCCATGTTCGCCTCTATGCTTCTGTTCTGCTTGGGTTTCTCTACTCTTTATCTTTTGAGATTATGGGTTGGATGCATCTCAGCCAGGCAGACAAAAGCTGGAACTTGGCCTCTCAGTCAGACTGGGACACGTTATGTTGGCTCGGCCCAGCCAAAGCTCTGCTTCATCTCTGTGCCCACGCCATCGGCATCCACCTATTCATCATGTCTGAAGTGCGGTCGCGCAGCACCTTCCTTAAGGTGGGACAAGCAATCATGCATGGCAAAGATCTGGAGGTGGAGAAAGCCTTGAAGGAGCGAATGATTCACTCTGTCATGCCCAGACTTGTGGCTGATGAACTGATGAAGCAAGGTGACGAGGAGATCGGTGATAATTCTGTTAAACGATACTCCACCAGCGGCGCAGCAGCTGTAATCTCCAGCCCTAAAAACAATAAGCGCAAGAAAACCTCCATCCCTCGTGGCCAGATCATCTTCAGACCCTTTAACATGAAGCGGATGGAGCCTGTCAGCATCCTCTTTGCAGACATTGTGGGTTTCACAAAAATGTCCGCCAACAAATCCGCTCACGCCCTCGTTGGGCTTCTGAATGACTTATTTGGACGTTTTGATCAACTTTGTGAGCTCACTGGCTGTGAAAAGATCAGCACTCTAGGGGACTGTTACTACTGTGTGGCTGGTTGCCCTGAACCGAGACCAGACCACGCCTATTGCTGCGTGGAGATGGGCCTCGGCATGATCCAGGCTATTGAACAGTTCTGCCAGGAGAAGAGGGAGATGGTCAACATGAGGGTGGGTGTTCACACTGGCACTGTTCTGTGTGGTATCCTCGGCATGAAACGCTTCAAGTTTGACGTTTGGTCAAACGACGTCAACCTGGCCAACCTAATGGAGCAGCTGGGAGTGGCTGGGAAGGTCCACCTATCGCAAGCCACCGCCAACTTCCTGGACGATCGCTATCAGCATGAAGATGGACAAGTCATTGAGAGAATCGGACATAGTGTGGTGGCCGACCAGCTCAAAGGTAGGTGCTCCGCGATTGCATGGCTTGACTGGTTATGCCAAGTAGATGTGTAGTGAGTGAGTCGAGTCAATTTTGCTTCCTTTTCCAGACTTTGTTTGTTGAATGACTAATAGTCGAACTCCAAAGACAGGTTCCTAAAAATTGCCTACAGTAGTGGTGCCTGATCCTTTTTTTTCCTAATAACTGGCTAAAAGGGAAGGGTGGGATAAGTAGTCACCGCGCACGGCAAAAAAGCACTTGTGAAATGGGTCACGGGGGACCGGCTCATGTAATTGGGGGAGAATATGCTCATTTTTCAAAAATAAATTATTTTTCAAGTGGCCCCGGTGTTTGGGGACTACTGGCCTACAACATTGTGACTTATTTCTGCAATTGTTCCCCTTTAAGGCCACGCAGTGTTCTAGGCATTCTGAGGTGCTTAATTGAATGTCCTGTACCTCATCTCTGCCAGCCCTGGGAGAAATGCGCCAGCCGATGTCAGCATATTTGCAGTTCACCTCTAGGTGGGTCAGACCAGTGGAGGGGAGCATTTGAATTGATTGAGCTGGGTTTTAACATCCTGTAACCTTTACAGATAGGTGAGCAAGGGTTGGAGTCTGCTACGTGCCCTCTGTGGCGTCGGCCTTGAGTGACTGTATCACAGACGGCATCTTCCTTCCCATCCTCCCCTTCATCCTGTTTATTCAGACTCTTTGTTCTCTTGTCCAATTACATTGCCTTCTAGACGTCCTGAATGTTTCCTATTTTAACCTCCATCTAAACCCCAGGGATGGCTTTAAAACGTAATGCAACTGCTGCCTTCTCTAGTAGAGATGTGCCTGCAGCTTTATATTCAACCCCCTGTATTATCCTTTATTTGACTTAACTCTAAACGTCTTGACTGCAGCTTATATTTGATGCATTAATGCAAATTGCCCCAGTGTAACTAAATGTTGGCTTATTGGCTCCTTTCATCTTTCCATCCTGGCTGATCCATTATCAGCCGGTGTAAGTGAAGTGACAGCGTCTGACTAAGGCGGTGCAGATGGTGTTTACCCCTTTTTGAATGATCATTTCAAGAATTCTTTTGGTTTCCATGGATGCTGAAATGTGCTTTGTTGGAGGCTGCATGTCAGATCTTGTACAGAGAAGGCATGGATTAATATGAACCGCTTATTCATGCAGTTTAGCAATCCGTGTGCTTATTAATCAACTTATGCGTATATAAATACCAAATCATGTTATCCTTGCATTACAGATTTCCATTATTTTGTGTCTAGACGTAAATACTGTGACTCGTCAAGGAACAAGATGCAGAAGTGCGTCTTGTTTACCAGTGAGTGATTAATGGGCCTGCATTTTCCCCTCGTCTTAGATTAATGAGCAACTACCACTCTTGCTCTTGTCTTTCCTTTTTTATACCGTGAGGATAAATGTGTTACGCATAATGTAATCACCACACCTCACATTGCTCTCTTTCTCCTTGACTTCTTTCTTCCCTCCATCATGTATTGAGTTCCCCTCTTCAGATTTATCTTCTCCTTCTAGAGCCCCGGCTGTCAGGAGAGACTTGTGATCTACAGCGCAGTAAAATTCCCTCCACGGTCTGGTTGAGTCTGCGTTAATCAGTTGGTATTGCAGCCAGGCATGGATCCTGGCCATGGGGCTGGTTTCCTGACTCTGAAGTAACTGTCTCTTAACAGGGCTCTGATTGCTGTGCTGCTGTCTTCTATTTACGTTCGTGTCCTTTCCGGGTGAATGTGATGGGTTTTTTTTTTTTTCGGCTTGTGACTGTAATTATAACATATGTCGCACATTGTAACGGAGATTCACATGGGGTGCAACCACGTCTGGTCAGTTGAGAGTTGCAGCTGCATCCTGTTGACTCCAAAGCAATGAGAGAGATCGTGCATCTGATAACTGGTATTTTGAGGTTAAATAAGACTATAAGAAAAATAGAATGTCAGGAAGCCGTGCCTGCTACAGTTTCAATAGCCAAAGTGGCTATAGTGCTAAATAAAGCACTGTTGAGAAGAAGTGTGACCTGTTTGGTATTTGCTTGACATGAGATGTAATCAATATCAAATGTACCGTTTTGAAAGTTGTGTACAGTGCACAGGGTTATTTGCACAGACTGTTTGAAGGAAACACTGAGACGATCTGAACACACTTTGCGTGTTTGTCTCTTTAATGGGCTGCACGTGAGGCCAGACGTTTTTGTTCATTTTTCTTTACTGGAATTGGAAAGTACCGGTCTCTGTCCTTCCTTATGGGCTTAATGTGGAATGATGGCAAATTCAGATGATTATCCCTTCGGAGGAGACTGTCAGTGTGGTCATATTGTCCTTCCGCTGATGACAGAATCACCACAGAGAGCCGGAGGTGGTTCTTCTCTTTTTCAAGCTACTGTTTACAGGGGAAATGTATTTGTGTGCGTGCTGATGTTGTCTAAGGGTTTTGCATGTTTTCAAGGAAACTGAAATTGTTACATTTTCCTTTCACTGAATATGTAGTTAAATGTTGTCATTACCAGGCATGAAAATCCCTCACCTTTAGGTGAAATTCGCCGTTTTGAAACCAAAATAGGTGACTTACGTGAATCGTGTAGATTCGATGAGTTTTTTTGGGAGGTATTCATATTCAGTGAACTGCGAACAGGTGCGCGTGTCAGAAGGGAGCACGACATTCAGTAAATTGCGAACAGGGTGAGTGATGGTTTCAATAATTGTAATATTTTCTGGTATATCGAAGTTACCCAGGAGCTTTGTTGACACAGACTTAGCTAACGTTAGCTACAGCTTGATAAATTGAGTCAGTTAACACAGCAGGAGGCCAGCTAGCTAAAGCTCCGGTGGGAAATGATTAGCTAACGCTAGCGTTTTTGAGGAGGTAGATTTTGAGGTGAGGGGACCGACGAGGCAGAAGGTAAAGTGCTCCACCGTTCTCTCAATAAGCAGACCTGCCAACCTGATACGCATTCTGACTGCAAAGTACGCTGGTACAAGTTGTCACTCTAAACTACGCAAAAATGTGTCTAAAACTAATTTTCGACTAGTTGACCAGCACACATTATATGCAATGCAATATAATGCATGAAGAGTATTTAATTCCCATTCCCATCCCCCCCTCGCCGGTACACAAAAAATGATCCCTGGGACAAAACCAGTTGAAAACCACTGCCCTAGAGGGGTAATATCCTTGTCACCTTGACCCGTTTTCATGCCTGCGTTACCGGTTCTTGCTTCAATGTGTAACAGCGGAGGAGAATTACAGATCCAATTCTCCTTCAATTATCTTTGAATACATTGCCCAGACTGCTTGTGGTGGCAGATATTAAAGATTTCTAACCAAGCAAGACTGTGTAATCTCCCTGGCTCGAGTGATAAATGTTAGTGTCTGACCGGCTCCACAGACACACCAGCCCGTTTATATAACAGTAAATTACATTGAGGTTTTCATCGCTGTGTTTATTTGTGATGAAGGAACAAGAAAGGGTTTCAAATGGAAACAACAATGACCAGGGGTTGTGCTGACGTTATAACGGAAAATCATTTTTATTCTTGTCCACGATATAAATCTCTTCCGATTACTTGTCCACCTTTTTTAAAATCTTCAGAACAGTAAACTACATTAGGATTGATTTGAGCAAAGTGCAGAAGTAAGCGGCCCTCGTGAGGAATGTTCTGTGACCCGTCACTCTGCACCTACTACTTCGTTCTCTGCAGCAGGTACGGGTGTCGGTAGAGCCAGTTATTTCTTTTGGGTGACTCCCATGCATACAGTACACACACACACACACTGGCGCTCAACAATGAATGATATTCCTTTGGGATGTACTGGTACCGTTATCCAGCTAAGGGTTCAGTATTTGCCTGAAGCTCAGTGGAGACTTTTTTTATGAAGGCTGCTGCCGCTGACCTTGGAAAAGGAATGAGGTTGTTTTTGAATTTTACACTTAAAGACTCCGGGATGGAAGAAAGCCAAAGGGAACCAGGCAGAGATATAATGTGAACGGCCGTTAACTGTGGTTGAGTTCTGCCGTCTGAGACTCCGTTTATATCCTTTTCTGTTTTTGGATGTCGAACCGCTATTACAGTAAACCTCTGTGTAACGGGACCTCGCCATTGAGCTCTAGTGTGAGCCTTAATCAGAGAAACGGAGCAGTAGAGTGGCTTACTGTAAGGAGGGGTAGACCGAGAACTATGTTGGGGTATAGTTGGACTATTATGCAAGCTGTTGATACGGTTTAGAAAACCAATGGTAAATAGAACCCCCGGAAACCCGTTACACAACATGCGGCGTTGAGTAGCTGCCCTGTAGAGACACCCTCCCCTCCCAGTCTGCTCAGGGATCTAAACCACTATGTCACGACCGAGCCCTTCCTGGAACACCACGGCCACATTACAGCTGAAAGCGTTACGACATAATGCATCACTTTAGTACGACATCGCCCTGTGCTGCGTATCACAGCTCAGCATTGCAGCTCGTTATTTATTATCCATGGCCTTATCGTAATGAGCAAGTCTGCAGAGATCTAGCATCCCTTGTCATCCTCTGACAAACATGGGGCCATTATGGTGGCGAGGTTATCCAAGGTCTATGGCGGTGAATATATGTGGTTTTTAAATTTTGTTTGTAGCTGCAGTCATTTAGGTTGTAGCTGCAGTCATTTAGTTTTTTTGCTTTGTCAAGTTGTTTCTGAGCAGAATGAAGCCACCTGCGCTTATTCAGGAGCACCGAGCGTCAATCGTTTTGACTCAGTATTTCTTTTTTTTTTTTTTTTTACTGTGTAAGGACTTTCTGGATCAAGAGCAGAACACCAGAGGGCATTTTTGTGTGGCGCAGTGTGGTTTTCTGTTGAACTGAGTCGGTGGGCGAAATCCTCTGCATCCTGTTGTACCTCACTTAATACTGACACGGGTCAGCAGACCCCGCCGCCCCCCCCCCCCTCCTCCACATTTGGGTAGCTGTCAATGGTGAAGTGTCCCACCTCTATCTACTCTGACATCGGTGGCCCGGGG